CTTTGACCGTACCTGTTATCACAATCGTATCTTCAACAAATCATCTTGACATCCACAATAAAGAACCATACTGCCCAGCTGACGTGCAGCTTGAATCAGTCAGCAGCACTGAAGCGTCCCTATTCAGGCTCATGCCCCAAACCACCACAAAATCGCCTCAAGACCCCTCCAGCTGCCCCTTACCGCTCTCTGATTTCCAATTCACACACGGAACAGGTGCCGGATGCCAGAATCACACGCTATACTGAACCCGTGGTATGGACGTTCATTTCCGTTCAAACTCCGTCACGCTTACGTTGAGAACCCTCACGGGATGCGAATCCGCCATACCGTTGAGAAACGGTTGCCATGAGTTCGAAACATCGAATGGCATGGCGCAGTTCCTGGTTGGAATCGCAAAAATGACGAAGTCGGGCTCGGGCGTCGTCCGGAATTCTAATGAAGTCGAGGAAGGAGGAAATGTGATACGGTTGCATCATGAATTGGACGGTGGGATGATGAACTGAACGAAAGGTGGATTTAGAGCGTAGCATTCAAACAGTTCATTTTGGAACGATAAATGACAGAGTGCAGCCGGGGAGGTTGGCGCAATAGGTCATCTCCAACGAGCGAGTTGAACATCTAGACCCCGACGGGTTCGATTCAGAAAGTGGCGTTCCGGGCACGCCAGATGGGTTGCTGTTGCGTATGTGGCGAGCCTCCATTGCTGGCTGCCTGTGAATTCTGGGATGAGATTAGGTGTCCTACGGGGATCACGCCAAACAGATCATCGCGAAATCGACATGGTCGTGGCGGCATAGACGAAAGCTTCACTGACTTGAGCTACTAGGCGATCGACCTCGTCTCTGATATCCAACAGCCCCATACGAAAGACCAAGCTTGTGGGAATTTTGGCTACTCGGACTAATAATGAAAGGCGGATGTCGCTCAATCACTGATGTTCGAATCATGGAGATCGTCTGGCGCTAATTCGGGGCGTCGGTGAAACACAGGAGGATATATG